TGCTGCGTGCTTCCCCAACGGCCTTGTCGCCACATCGCGAAACGGTTGCAAGCTCCAGAACACGTCGCGAGCACGTCCATTTCCAGGCCCCCACAAAAAAAAGTTGAGCTCTTCGCTACGTCGGGAAGACCTTCCCTGGAGTTATGACCAGACGGTCAGAGACAGGAGGGGTTTCTGAGCAGCACCAAACAACTAAAAAAAAACTCAAAAACAACTCAGCCGAAAAAACTCAACTGAAAACGCAGACTCAAACAAAGCACACAGAAAACACAAAAACAACACAAGGGACGACTCAAAAAAGACACAGAAAAAATCAGCCTTCAACTCAGAAACAAAAAGGGAACAAAACTCAAACACGACTCAGAAAAGACTCAGCCTTGAACTCGATCTCCCAACTTGAGTTGAGTTTTGTTTTGAGGCTGAGTCGGGAGCTGAGTTTTTTCTGAGTTTTTTTCTGAGTATTTTCTGAGGTTTTTTTTTTTTTAAATATATATCTCTGAGGGGGTTGGTTGGGGAGGAAATCCGCAGTTTTCCTCAAGAAAACACAAAAAAACAACTAAAAAAACTCAAAAAAGACTCAACAAAGACTCATCCGAGACTCAATCCGAAAAACTAAATCAGGAAAACTCCCAACCTGGGAAGCCTCGGGAAAAACTCAGGAAACTTAGCAAAACTCAGCCTTGAACTCGATCCCTCCCCCGCTTGAGTTTGAGGCTGAATCGGGAGTCTTCCCAGATGGGGAGTTTTCCTGATTTAGTTTTTCGGATTGAGTCTCGTTTGAGTCATTTTTGAGTCTTTTTGAGTTTTTGTTGTTTTTTGTGTTTCTTGGGAAAACTGCAGATTTCCTCCCCAACCAACCCCCTCAGAAAAAAAAGGAAACGAAACAACACAAAACACAACTACAACACCAAAAACAACAACTCTGACAAAAACTCAGCTCCCGACTCAGCCTCAAAACTCAAGTGGGGGGATCGAGTTCAAGGCTGAGTTTTTTCTGAGTCGTGGTTGAGTTGTTTTTGAGTTTTTTTTGAGTCTTCCCAGATTCGGACATTTTCAGATTGAGTTGTTGGGTTGAGTTTGTTTTGAGTTTTGTTTTGTGTTTGTTCGAACTCCTGCATTTGCGGCCTGTGTGGGCGAGATCAGGTCTTAACCCTGGAGGTCTTGCTGGTGCGATAGGCATGGAATGAGAAATGGAATAACCCCATCAACCATCCCCCATGGTTTCTTTTAAGAGGACTGGTTTCCTTCCATTTCTCATCCCCTATCTATCGCGCCAGCCAGGCTCCGGGCTCCGCGCGCCAGGACCGCGCCCGGAACCTTGGCCTGGTGACCTCGACGCGCGCGGCCGCGCGGATCGTGACGCCGGTGCTGTCCGCCGACCTCTTCGAGGCGCTCGGTCGCTCGGTCGCTGGGTCGGCGCTCGCTGGGTCGATGGTGGGAGCTGTGAACCTACCGAAGGCCATCAAGACTCGGACCCAAGGTTGCAGGACCGGTGCCAAAACGATTTGGGAGATTGGGAACAAGGGTGTTGTTGGGGTTTTGCTGGGGGGAGGAGGTTTTTGTTGGGATGGCCTCGGCAAATGACCTGAATAGACTTCGGAGCTTTCCGCTTCCCTCTTTACCATGGAAGTGCACAGCGGGCCAAACCTCAAAGCGACAGCTTTCTTCCAACACCCTCCGACTTCCACACTTGGAGGGGTTCCAGGGGCTCTGAAAAAATCAAGATCTTTTCCTAAGTGTGTTTAAACAAAAAAAGTGGTCACCTTTTTCCAGGGGCTCTCAAAAAACAAAATATTGTCCTAAGTGTGTTTAAACAAAAAATGCGCACCTTGCATCTTTCATGGCCTGATCCATGGAGCTGCAGATGTTTACCCCAAGTGAGAAGAAGCCGTTCAGGCCAGCGCCGGCCATGCGTCCGCACCGGGCGCTTTGCCGTATCTGGTGCCCGGAGCCTCGGGGCCCCGGCGGACAGCCTCCTTGAGGTCTGCTCGAAAGGGGAGTCCTTCAAACCGGTTCCTTAGCTGTTTTAGTTGGTTTGGTGCTCGGGTTTCCATCTAACCCACAGGTTAAGCTGTTAGCAGGGGATCTGAGGGAACATGAAGATCATGAAGGCGTTTGGGGTCCATGGTTGATTTGCAAGAGCGTAATTGGGTGTGGATTTTGCCATTGGATTCTGCTTTTTGTCGCATAGACTACCTCAAAAATGCTTTCAGCCTTGGCAACAACATTTGACAGGGGCATCTTGAAGATTTGAGAAGAATGAGGCACCATTCGGAAAGGCTGAAACCCACACTGAAACCCACACGCAGTTGCCTTAAGCATCAAAATCATGCTTGCTGCTTCCACAGTGGGTGGCATGGAAAGGCTGGCACCATTGGCCAAGTGAAACTCCATTTGGGCAGAGGGCGATATGTTGTATTTGAGCTTTAGTCGACAAAGGCCTTTCCGCAAACGGATGGCTAGAGGCGGAGACTATTCTGCAGGTGTCGGATGTCATTTCCTGACAACTTACCGTGTGTGTTACCCACATGGCCGGGAAGTTGCTTGGAAAATTAGTTCTCAATCGCAAGGCACATGGGGGTTGATCGATACATTCCGTTCGGTCCCCAAATGACCATGAGATGTTTTTCCATGTGGTTGAAATATCATATCTGGTAGTATCCCGAACCTTTTGATCAAGCCCCACTTGAAATCTAAGAAACCAGCAGGACATTGAAACCTGGTTTCTGGTAGGTATTTGGCAAATTTTCCGCAGGAATTACTGTAGCTGCTTTCTGATCACTTCCTGAGTTCCTGGACTTTGTACTTTCTGGGCTTGGATCATTTTAGTGGTAAATAACAAGTTTGGACTTTTGTTGGGCCATCTCGATCGGAAGTGAGTCGGTGAATGTGGAGGGTATCGGAGAGTCGCCTCAGGCAAGTCGCGACGTTTGGGTGTGGCCTTTTCGACGGAACCCCCGCAAAATGGCGGCTTTCCTGTTGCTTTTCCTTTATGAAAAAAACAAAGAACAGGTGCCCTTGAAACAAAGCAAGAAACAACAGCCATGATTTTTGTTTGGAGGTGCAACTTTGGGCGCGTCACCTGGTTCAAACATCGGGGACCTCTACGCTGGTGTCCTGTTTTCTGCACCATCCAATTCAATGGGTTCCTTCCCACTTTGAGCTCGCACTGCACTTGGCCATTTGAGGCAAAGGAGGACCTGGCAGCAGCTTCGTTTTCAACCACTGACTTCAAAGCTCACTTCCTGAGTTCCTGGACTTTAGTCACTTTTTGGGTTTGGACATTTTGGACCTTTTTCGCGGCCAACAAACAGTTTGGACTTTGTTTGGCCCATCTCAGGAAGTGAGAAAGTGTATCCACCGAATCGAACATTTTGGGCGTCCCGTTTTTGGCCACATGTGCTTGGCAATATTTGACCACCTAATAATCTTGCTTGTTCGGAAATGCCAGGCTTCTATAAAAGAGGCACTTTTAGTCATGTCTCGAAAAGCATCGCTTTAGACCAGGGCCCTTTCCGTTTTGGCCCAGTGGCGTAAGTGAACAGGCCACCAGCGCCAAGGGGCTGAACTTTGACTTCGAACCACAACTCAAACATCCCCGAAATTTTGGGGGCACAAAACCAAACACAGGTTCCTTATGCTTCCCTTTGGGTGGCTTTGAGCAGTTGGGCAACTTCGAAGTGCGTTTCCTAGTACTGTCTACATGTAACATCTAGAGAGTTTCCTTTTTCAACTTGCTAGTTTCCCAAGAAAAGACTCAAACTGCCCTTTTGAGGGAGTCTCCTAAGACTAGCCTTTGGGTGTCCAAAAAAACCGTCCCTCGCGTTCTTTTTTCGCCGGAAAGCATCCGAGGGCCTCCTCGCTGGCTGCGGGGCTGAGCCCAGTGCCACTGATGTTGGCCGAGAAATCGAAAGAAAAGCGGTCGACTGGGTGGTTTTCTACGAATTTCTCCAAGAAGCGGATGAATGAATCTGCCAGCTGGTGGTTGGAAGGGAGCCGGACTTGGGAGCTGGGGGTATCCAAGTTTGCTTTTAAGAAAGGAGTCTTGCGTAGCTGTTCTGGAAGGACACGGCAGCCTGGAAGCTGATTTGGAATCCGATTCCTTGGCAAGAAGCAACCAGCTTTCGTTCGTGCCAAACCTTTCGGAGATAGCACTGAAAAGCGGTCGAAGAGTTGGAGAGTCGGAGAAGGTTGACAGGAATAGCTGTTGGGGCTGTGTGTATGCCTTGCGCGTTTGTTGGGTTGGTTTGTTTGGCTTGTTTAATTGAATGTTTGTTTGTTTGTTTGCTAGTTTGTTTGCTTGCTTGTTTGTTTGCGTGTTTGTTTGTTTGTTTGTTTGTTTGTTTGTTTGTTTGTTTGTTTGTTTGTTATGTTCATTGTTTGTTTGTGTGTGTGTTTGTTTGCTTGCTTGCTCGCTCGCTCGTTTGCTTGCTTGCTTGCTTGCTCGCTTGTTTGTGTTTGTTTGTTTGTTTGTTTGTTTGTTTGTTTGTTCGCTCGTTTGTTTGTTTGTTTGTTGGTTTTTGTTTGTTTGTTTGTTTGTTTGTTTTTTTTGATAGTTTCTTTTTTTTATCAGGTCTGAGAATACTTGTTGGGTTGTACTTTTCCCAATACATGGGTCGAACGAGCATTCCTGGTTCTTTCTGGTTCACAATGAACACCCCTGCTACCGACATACCCATAGCAGTCGTTCGGATTTGTGGGCCTGTCCTGGCAGATTGAAGGGGTTTGAATCGTGGCAAGGGGACGGGGAGTGAGAATAAGTCCCCATCACATTGGCAGGTGTGAACTTGCTGGTTCTCAGGTCCTCTGGTTCCTGAGAACCCGCAAGTGAGTGAACGGTTGAGAATCCAACCGTGCCATTCCCAACCAAGTAAATTTTGGTGGGTGGTTCGGACTGGCGGTTTGGATTTGAACCCAGGTTTTTGTAGAGGGTACCACAAACACCGGACCCAAAGCTGTGAGGGAAGCTGACCCAAAGCCTAGCCTTCCTTACCTCCTAGGCTGTACAGCAATAACAACGTCTTCTACGAAGCCTTGGCCTGGGAGCTCAAGGATGCCCGGAGTCCAAGGATCGCGAAGGGAACCCCAAGGACATGTTGGGGGACATATATATATATATATATATATGTATATATTTGTATACACACGTGAATTCCGGATGTTCAGGTGCTCCCTTCTTAAGATCGACGCGTCTCTCGCGGTCTCTGAACTTCGAGGGTGTCCACCGTCCCAAAACTACCCCCCCCCCCCAGAACCATGGACGCAGCTTGAGGGGTCCGCGAAGACCATTGTCCTCTACAATGTTGGGAACCCCCCCCGCAGGTTTTGGGGACCCCCTAATAGTTTGCGAGGGTGATACTCCTTCGGGTGTTGGCCCCAAGACATACCGCGCGGTTGATGAATCCGGGGTCGACAAGAGGTTGGGTCAATATATGTCCAGTAGTCTATGTTCCGTCCGGGAGGGGACAAATCGGGGAACCTCTCAAGTTCTCCATTTCTCATGTGTCCACGTTTGGTATCATCTTACATCTTTGACCTTATGGAAGATGATGGCAAGAGGCTAAGGGGTAATTTTGAGGTCCAAATCAGAATCAATACAAACCAACCACAACGAGCACCTGGTTGTTGGCCAAGATTTGAAAGCTCATGTGCAATAGACAAGCCACAATCAAGACCGGGTAGAAGGGTAGTAGACTTTACTAACCAGCCAGAAATGGGTTCGGATATCTGCCCTGTGGATTATTTACACGGCTTTAGACCACGTTCCCAGACCGGTCTTGGATGGTGATGGCTCGATTCAGGTTGAGCGCATCCTGAAGGCTGAGCTGCAAGACTTCAAGAACGCGCGGGGCCCAACCGGTTTGCCGATGTCGAAATCGGCATTGTTGGGCAGGGCTCCTGAAAAGATACACATGGCTTTTTCCACCAAAATAAAAGAAAACCCGTTGGGGCCCCGATGGGCTCGTTGGCTTGTTTGAGGCCCTCTTCAGGTTGGTTCAAAACTCAAGAGCAACACGTATAGATCCATATAAGGTCCATATATGACCCCTTGGCTGGTTGTTTTCTTGTGGCCCATTATGCATTTAGGGATGTTCAATCGTCAGGTGTTAAAACATGAAATCAGTCAATCAAGCTCTGTTGTCCCACACCTTGTGATAAGCTGCTTATGTGGCTTGAAGACACACGTTATATTTACGAAATGCGGATTTTCTGCTGGTTGGCGTGCCGCTTGTTCCTTTAAGCTGCAAACCAACCCGACGCAAAACATTTAGTATGCAGGTTGTAGATGGTTCCCTACCACAGGTTCCGCACGATGTTTGGAGGCGCCCATGTCTACGCCCATGTCATGTCGGTGCCCCGGATTGCGGACCACTGTGCCGTTGGATGGCAAAGCATGGACCGTCGCTGGACCGTCGCTTGGAAGGCGAGCATGACACCAGGCTGGGTTCCCCACCACCTGGGTTCATGCAAGGAGCGATTGGATGAGTTGGTTGGAGGCTGAGACTATGTTGTCCAACAAGATATGGGAAACAAAAGCATCAGCTGAAGAGATGCGGGTAACGAACCGTATCGAGCGTATGACAACATTCAACCAACATTGGATTGAATCTGGTGACCATCATCAGCGATGCTGGCATGTTACAGTGGAAGATCAGAGCCACATCTAATGTAATGAGAATATATGAGAAAACCCGGTGTACGAAATGTGCAAGCTTTCGCTTTGTGACCAGACAAACTTGAATTAAGCGTCGGGACTATGCCGGATCTAGGCTGTGAACATGTGTGAAATCGTGGACATTGTTTGAAATGACAAGTTCTAGCAGTTGGAACCGGCGTCGGTTCCGCTTGCCTTGAGAAGTCCCATGTCAGGTACACATTGACCTGGAGCCATGGTGATTTCAGGCCTCGAATCGCATGCCACTTGGTCTCTCTGGGATGGCATCTTGCTTTTGCCGGTTATACCGTATACCGGTTTAAGCAGCGCTTCGGGCTTGCCGCCTGAATTCTCGAAGTTCCCACAAGCAGGACACAGTTGCGGAGAGATTGGCGCAAGTGGATTGGAACATCTGCATGCATCTATTTGGTGGTTCAACCTACTTAGTAAGTAGGTCTAGCCAGGATGCTGTTGGTTGAAACCATCTTCATGCCTTAATTCAAAGCAAAGGGCGATCTAGCCAATATGACTTGGTCAAAAACAGCATCCTGTCCATCTAGCTTTCGAGAATGGTGGACCGGTTTAAAAAGTGCAAGGAATGCAGCTGCTGTGCATCGCAAGTGTGCTGAAGATCTCCGTTCAGTATGTGTCGAAATTGGTGGACCCTCCGAAATAGTGGTTGTCCTTCCTTGTAACCAACTTGAAAAGGATACCCTGACAAAAGAAACAAACCCACTCGTGGCGCAGCTCAAACGCAGGAGTCAAGGATCCCGAAGCGTGCCCACAAAGGTTTATTTAAAATGAGGCGCATCGTTACGTCGTGCGACGCTGAGCATGACTTGTTGAGTGCCAGGAAGATGCGGTGAGACCCCCTTTCGAGCACTATCGCCGGGTGCTTGACTATCCCAAGCAGCAAGCATAAGCTTGCCATACTTGCCAATCTGGAACCTGCCAAACAAAGTCATGCCTGTATCCTTTTGGCTGCACCCTTGTCTTGATTCCATGTTACTTTGCTGGGGAGTATGTCAAAAGCGCTTTCCGAGCGCAGGGTTCGGACATGTCGGCATTGGACACATCTTTGGCTCAAAGCCGTCCAAAAAGATCGGCTGGGCGTGCACCGGAAGTGACCCTTCTCAGTTCTTCAAAGCGAATCGAACGAATCTGGCCTTTTGTTTTGCCCTTTTTCGGTTCCCGTATCCGTCATGACCCTTTCTACACAAGGTGATCGCCTTCAGTAGCAAGTCCCTTGAGCCACTGACTCTAAGTTGACCAGCCAGCGTCGCAACGGTGCACGTCCCAGGAATGCCACCATCAGTGTACCGGAACGAGCAACATGGAGTGCCACCACACGGTTTCCTCCTTCGGTTTCCAAGCCCGAAGGACACCTGGGGGATGTGGCAGGGTGACTGCATGACCCAACTTTGGTTGGAGTTTGACCTTTATTTGATCAATGTTGACAACTCTACAGAAGAATCCGTTAGGCTGCAATCAGCACAAGCCGCACACCTGGCCTGTGTGTGTGTGTGCAGTTGCCATGACCCACTCTGAAGAGAGGCAAGGGTCACTGCTGGAGAGCCAATATGCGAGCGCTTTTTGTGTAACTATCACGTGATTCAAAATATTTGTCCGAAAGGTCAGGCTGGACGAATAACTTCTCTAATTATGTCAATAAGGTCCCGCCCCCCTCCAAAAATTACAAATATTGGGCTGGGGGCCGAACAATATTTGTTCAATGTGTGCCCCATGATGGCGTCTATCCATTCCGGGGGGCAAACAGCTTTCAAACTGGCAGTTTCCGAGTAAGGAATTCAAACAGGGGAAATATAAGTTGGTTTCAATGCTTGCCGCTTTGAAGCCGCTAAAAATTGGCTTAGTACCAGTTTAGTATTGGTTTAGTATTCATTTTGTATTGGTCTAGCATTGGTTCTAAAATATCCAAGACTGGTCTTGGGGTCACTAGCTGGCTTATTAATCGGTTTAGTATTGGCTGCATTAAGAGATTTGGGGTCCATTCTAGTTTCCGGGAAGCTATTACTGGCCAAGACAACAGACACCATTGCGCGCCCCTACAGATTCCTCTTCCGGACAGTTCTTCTTGTGAACATTGAATCTAAGCGCCAGAGGACGGCTTTCTTCTTGCCTGAGGCACTGAATTGTGCTAACATGTTTTCGCGCTCCGTGTATCTTTGCGCACTTACGGCGGCGGGTCGCTATGAGTTTTCACGTGGATTGTCAAGTTATGTCAATCACCTGCAGGAGGTTAGTTTCACTGACCCGATGGGCCTTGTGTTGCATTCCAAGCACATCCCAACAGCCCATTGGTCAACATCGTTCCTTGACCTTTGTGTCGCTATGGGAACGGGGGCCACTTCACCTTTTGGCTGTCTCATGTTGGTGAGGGCTAAAGATTGACCTCGCGTGTTCGTTGTCCTTCCTGGGCCTTCCAACTTACCTGAAATGTTTGCCTTCCCTGTCAATCGGCTGGTGTTTGGAATTCATTCTTTCTTGGCTTGTCCTCTTCTTTGGACCTCGAGCAGTGTTGGGAGGCATGGGGGCTGTTAGGTCCTAGCATGACCTACTCGAGCAAGACGTGTGTGCAAAAACGCCCTCAAATTTGAAAAGTGCTCAATTGAAATCGGGCACTTGTTCACTGCTCGGGCAGAAATTGAAGAATCGGGCACAAACTAGCAGAGAAAAAAATCGCAAGCTCAATGGAAGGTCCAGGTTAAGATTTTGTTACACGTAGGCCGTGTCGAATCCGCTTTCCGTTCCGTGGAGTTTTGACTTCGGAGTGCCGCCAGAGAGAGAGGGAGAGAGAGAGAGAGAGAGAGAGCGAGAGAGAGAGAGAGAGGCAGAGAAAGAGAAAGAGAAAGAGAAAGAGAGAGAGAGAGAGAGAGGCAGAGAAAGAGAAAGAGAAAGAGAGAGAGAGAGAGAAAGAGAGGCAGAGAGAGAGAGAGATAGTTCTCCTTGATTTGGGCTAGTGAGATTTCACTGTTCTTGGCAAGTCTTTTTTTCCTGCTCATTTTTAGTAGGGGGCAGCAACGAAACAAACGCTACCAAGCATTGTGAAGGAGACAATCATTGCCAGGGCTTTCGCAAGTGCCTTGCCAGGGGTGCCTGGTACAAGGAGGGTCTCATAGGCCTGGAGTCGCAACCTGGACGTTTTTCGGTTTCAGCTATTCGAAAAGTTGAGAGTAGTGCTTCGAGTGACCGCAACAGAGACACCTGGTGAGATCTGGTGAGCGATGGCAAAACATCTTGGGACCCGTGGCGTTCAAACAGCGCACGCAAAATGAGGACGATGAACCGCCGGAAGATCACCTCATTGAGTCAATGAGGTGTTCCCAAATGGCCTAGAGGTCGACTGCAGGAAGTAAGCCTATCAACTGCCGCTTCAACAGCTCAAAACTCTCAAAATAGATGCCACTCAAGGCTTGAAAGTTTGGCTTTACAACAGGCAGTAAAAGCATTCGCTTTGGGATGCATGCGTTCAGTGCACCAACACCAGGCAAACGATTCCCTAACAAGTCCTCTCGAATATGCACGGCGAAGAGGCTCATAGCAACTGCGTCACAGCCCTGTTGCCCAGAGCATCAAGCAGAACAAGATGGTATCTGGAAAAAACATGGCAAAACTCACGAGAAAAGCGAGCTCGCCGATGGCTCGGGTTTTTTACTTGAGGACTCCAGTTGTTGGGTTTCTGAATAGCATGTCTGCGCCAAGACAGCAGCAATTTGACCTTAACCTGATGGCGTTTGCACGCGTCCCGACCATTCAACAAGCATAACGCTATTGATCGGGCTTTGCCCACACAGATAAGACCGAGCAAACAGGGTTTGTCTCAAAATAGGGGTACCCCAAACTGTGTGGTCCATTGGTTTCCCCTCAAAACCACAAACTGGTACCCACACGCACACATGGCAGTGGCTCAAAAATCAAGAGCTAGGTTTACGCGGTTTTAGTCCACACATGTTTGTGAAGATGCGGAAACAAGCACCAGGAGCCGTCCGGCTCGGGTGCCCCGACCGAATTCGGCCTCTCCGCGCAGCCTTCGGCACTGGGATCCTCTATGGCGCCACCAACGCCCTCGTGGGGCATCCCATGGACACCGTGAAGGCGTGGAACCGGACCGGTTAGAAGCGAAAGCTGCCGCGTTTTTTTGTTTTTTTAAATCCAAAGATGGCCATGTGACTAGTTTTTGGGTCTGACTTATTTTAGGGGACCCCTAAAATAGAAATGGTGGTGCTCCTGTTGGCTCCCTTTAAAACAACTAGAAAAGGGGACCCTGAAACAAAGCAGAGCCTTATGGCTGTTCAATGTGGCGTGTGCATTCCCCACCCGACAGATTTGGGGTTGTTAGATTTTAAGTGACACCCGACCGCCGCAACCAGCCCAGCCTGTGACAGACAGATGTGACATACAGCTGTGAAAAAGCCTGCGACAGACAGCGGCAGAGCCTGTATTCACAGAAAGATTGCAGCAGTGACATGGCTTGGAAGAGACTGCCAGTGGCCGGCTGCGACAGTTCGAAGACTGTGCTCTGGATGAAGGGAACTGCCATCAAACAGGAAGCCAGGCTATTGACTAGGGGTCAACGCTGCCTTGTTTCTATTTTGTTCTGAGTTTATTTGCCGTCCCAACAGCCAGCAGCATGCCTGCGGCCCCGCGCGCAGTCGGATTGACTTTTGATGCTTGTGCGGTTGCAGTCTAGCCAAGCAAGTTTCTTGCGTGGGGATTGTTCGAAGTACAGTAATGTTTGAGTTTTCCGAACCTTGAAACTTGTCACAGCTGGGTTCAACTTGTTTGCGCTTTGCTGGTGTGTGATGATGGGTCATGGCTGGCTGTCAGTTGCTGTCAGGGCTTGTTCGGGCGAAGGCAGGCCACTTCTCGTCTGCCCATCATCAAGAAGTGTCATTCCTGGGGCCAATGCATGAGCTTGATTTCGCATTCCCAGCACAGGCGCCTAGACATGTCCGACCCCAGTTCAAACATATTCCACTTGATCTTGTTTCCTCGCTTTGTTGCGCTCATCTGTTCCTTGTTTGCGAGGTGTAAAGGGTATGGTCTTTCAGTAGTCAAACCCTTGGTTTGAACAACCAGTTGCCATCGATCGCTGTGATGTGTCTCAACAGCTCAAGCCCCACTGACTTTGGGAGTGTGTTCCCTCAAGCTCAGAAGTAAGCTTTCTCCAAGGGACATTTGCCGCTTTTGTGCGTCATACTGGTTTCGGTGCCTTATATCTGTAGTTTCGCCAGCGGGTGACGTGTTTCAACCGGGAGCTTTGTCGAAAGCGACTGCCAATGGCGCGCTCGTAGTCCTTTACTTCGGGATGCGAGTCTTCTCTTCGTGAGACGCGCTTGAGTGACAGCTGTCCTGTGGTTTCGGTCCATGCAAAGGGGTTCTTACACAAGGGGAAGAGAAAAACACGTGTTTATGTTTTTTCTTCAAAAAACAACCAAAAAGAACCCCGCACCCACCAGGGTACAATATATGGGCTTTTGTGAATCGTGATTCCATGATCCACACAACATTGTTGGCACAAAGACACAGTTGTACTAACATCGGTTTTGGAATGTACTACAAGCAGCTGGCTTCATCCACGAATCGCGGAGCTCAACCGTCAGCATGCAATCTGGAACCATTGTCCCTTGCTGCGCCCATGCAGCAGGGAACCTTTGTCCTGTTCCAGCGCTGAGCCTTTGTCCTGTGCCATGCTCATTCAGTTGATTTCATCATGGCCAGACTCAACGAGTTTTGCCTTGCTGTGTCTCACTGGCATACTTTTGGCAGGCCGGATATCAGTCTGGCCAAGTGGATATGAATTTCAAGAGTTGTACCCCAAATGATCGGCTGGGTTGTCTTTTGTTTGCGAGAGGCCAAGATGCAGGCTCAAGCCGGGCGCTCAGAGCGCATCCTCTGGTTGAAGGCACTCAGGATCGGTCAATGGTAGCCGATAGTTTAGTGGGGGACCGGGAAACCTACGAAATATGTTGACCACAAGGTAACTTGGAACACCTGTATGGCTCACATGAGTTTGTCGCATCGATGCGGAGGAGCCAAACCCCTTTTAGTGACACTGAAGACGGATGAAATCCCACCAGCACTATGGGTGGAGCAGGGGCGCTCGATCCGAGGTGGGCTTCATGGGCCAGGACCGAGCTGTGGGGGCCGTTAGAGTCGGGCAGTCGTTGAAGTGGGTTGAAGCTTTTGGAGCGTTTGTATGGGTTTGTGCGTGTGTGTTTTGAGGGTACCCTTTTCAGGTTTCAAAGGGAAATCAAGGGGAAGACAGAAGCCATGTGGGTCTTTTATGATAACATAGACCCAAAGCCACGGCACTTTGCTGGTTTGTGTCACTTTGGTCCGTTGAGTTGTCAAGCGATTGGCCTTGCGAAATGAGGAGCCTGTATCCTTTGTGGCTAAGTGGTTTTAATCGAGGATACGCCCAGGATCAGAGTGGCTAGGGCCACGGACTCTCTTATCTCCAAGGGTCTGTTGCCAGGGGCCTGGATTTGGGCACTTGGTCATTTGAATGCGGCAGATGAGCACCTTGAGGCACTGCCAAGACTGCCAAGGCCTTACTGAAACCTTACTATGGCCCTTCTCTGGGCTTACTAAGGTCTTAAACTGGCGCCTTAGGCTGCGACATTGATGCCTGCTCACCTAGTCATATCTAAGATTCACGGTGAGATGGTAAATGAGGGACCCATGAGGGGGATTTGGGGTGGGTGGCACCGGGGAGTTAAGTAATCAATGTGTAAGTGATACATTTTAGGCGCCAAGCACCAACTTGCTTTTACAAGCTGATGTAGAGAGGATCCCTTTCGGGTGGTTTCGGGCTGTATCTGTCAAGGAACCCTGACCAAGGCCGATTTCTTCCGCTGCTTTTTTGGCTTAGCGCGCAGGTTTGTGCCGCAGTCACATGCGTTTCCTGGAGATCATTCTTTGTCGAATGCCAAGAGCTTGGCAAGATACCCTGCCAATACACATAGTGCACAGGCTCCGTATCCAAGAGAAGAGTCTTTCAGAAGTGGTTCGCACCCTCGGAGGAAGGGTAACCTGCACTGTCCCTAGACTTGCGGTAAAGAAACAATGGGCTTCAAGACGAGATTTTGCCTCAGGCTCTCCTTGTCTTTATTCTAGGATGCCCCGCTGCAAGCCACCCAAATGGCCAACTCAGTGTCGTGTTGTCCCCAAAAGAAATGTGATAGGGCTGACTAAGTGTGAAGCAGAAAAACAAAAACACACATAATATATATATATATATATATACATGTATATATATATGTTTGTTTGTACCACAGATCTGGGCCGAGAATTCCGGGCGAGCCGGCCGGCGACTCCCACTTCTTGCCGAATTCCATCGAGCCTATGGACTCGCAGGAGGAGCCAATCGCCCCACCAAAGCGGCGTGTCTCTTTTCAGATGGGACTCCCAAAAGGTCCGCGAAGGCACTAGGACCCTAAACGTCCTGATGGCTCTTGGGGCTTCGAAATGTTTTGTTTTGAGATTCCTAAAGCAACTCGGGCTGTGGTACTGGTACTGCCGGGTTCATACCAAGCCCCAGCCCAAGGGGCTATGTATTATGTGTGCGGAGGCGGCTTGAAGCTTCGATCAATGGAGGAAGAATCCGAACCAACATCGCAATATGCAATTGAAATCTAGCTTGCAACTGCTGTCTCTTGGAAATGGTTTGGTTAACCAACCTGGGTTCTGCAATTGGTGGGCCGGGCACCTCACTCTCTAATTGTGGCTTGAAGGGAACCCCCGCCATTTAGTCTCCTTTTCAACAATGGGTAGTGTCAAAACAAACGCAAACCCAGATTCCAGGAACTGCTGGATCCAGTAAATTGAACTTTTCGAGGGCTCTCACTACTTTCGTTGAGAAGGGGTGCGGTGGTTGGGGTAGAAAAAGATAATTTACAGCTCGTCCTCTTTGCTCATGGACTGCCCTGCCGCGACCTGCGTGTCCAAGACCTTTACAAGTCGCAGCCGCAACCCCAAGGAACCCTATGCAACCCCAACAAACCCTATGCTTAAATAACCCACCCCCCTTGTACCTACCTCCCCCCCCTCTCTTTTTTTTGGGGGGGGGTCCATGGCAAAAAAAAACATGTGAGGAGGCCGTGGTAAAGCTGAACGTGGGCGGGGTAGTCTACACCACCTCCAAGTCCACGCTCCTGTCCTGCGAGGGGATGCTCGAGAAGATGGCGCCCCAGTCCAAAGGACGATCTCCAGGGAAGGGGGGGGTGGGAGCTACCAGGAGACCCCCATGGGTACACGAAGAAAGTACCTGGGCCCTCCAAATAGCCCTGAGAAAGGGAGAGCCACCTCGCGATTTCAGGGCACCAAGCCCATTCTTAGGGGTAGTGTGAGGGTCCAGGTGGATGGCAAGATTCCTTTTTGTGTGGGTAGGAGAAGCAGCTGACTAAGCCAGCATGATTGCATCGTGCCATGTGCTTGGTTGGCTGACCATGTTTCTTTTTCACCAGAACCGATCAGGTTTTTGTTGCACCCCCTTGCTGGTTGGCAGCTCACAGGCCGGGTCGTTCTTTTACCGCCGAAACAGGGGAGAATATGAAGGCATGGGAGACGCATTGGCAATTGCAAGCGATCCGAACCTCCCCAACATTTCAGACGCAATTTGGGGCCGCCACATATGCGTAACCCTCAAGGTGAGAGGCCTGTTCCGGTTGGCGTTTTCAGGGCAGGGGTTCAAATGAGCAGCCGTAAGGGTGGGGCTTGGTATGCAAAGAACGGGGGTCCCCATACCACACCCCGAGCTCTAGGGCTGTCAAACGAAACATATGGGGGGAAATGTAATATATATATATATTACATATATGTGTGCATAATTTATGGCGGGCTCACCAGGGGTATAACCAGCTCACCATGATAAAGGTTCTTTACTTGGGGATCCCGTAATCCAGCTTTGGAATTATAGTAACATTTGCAGATGTGTATATATCTATATATGGTGTATTTATCTATGGTGAATATATATATATATATATATATCGACTATATGTGCATGTATATATATATATGGTGAATATATATATATATATTGTTTCTTGGCTTCGGGGTTCCCTGCATTTTCTCTCAAAGGGTGGCTTTAGCATCCCCTTTTTATCCCTGAGTTTTCTTTCTAATGTTCACATGTGTTAAGATACGTCCTAGAGGCCCTACGGTTCAACCGCCATTACAAGAATGGTAAAGACCTAATTTAGATGGTGGCAATGCTTAGGGAAGCAATGTTAATGGCAGTTTGAACCCCAGAATGGGGGACCCCTAACATGGCTTCGGTCTTCCTTTTGATTTCCCTAGCCAACCTGAGAACGGTGCTGGTGAAAACAGCACTCTCCCATATACAGGGAAGCCATTTCTTGCGTCACAAGTAACTCGCGCGTGGCATGTCACTAAGTTCAACGGCTCTCTGAGCAACACCAAGATTGACGGCGCCTATTTCATCGACCGCGACGGCCACTTATTCCGCTATGTCTTGGAGTCTTGCCCACACTGGATGCTTAATTTTGAAATATGAGACGGAATTTGGCTACGCAAAGTGTGTGGGTGTCTCACTGGTTCCCGCTTATTTCTCTTTACAGCACCAAAAGTGGGTCCACTTTAGGACAGACTCGGTGTTCTAGGCAAACTGGCCAACCGATGACCTGGCGAAATTGTCAGTAGTCTATGGCTCATTTGGGAACAGATGGGACGAGCTCTAGATTTCCCACAGATACAACATGCAGGTGATTCCTTAGTGTTGCCATGTCTATTGCAGGAAATCACATATTGAGCGCCAAGCGCGTGGTTTCTTGGGCATTCGCAGCCAAGGAGTACCTGCGCAATCGCAGCGTTCAACTGCCGGACTCTCACCAAGCGCCGCGGCCGAAAAAGTTGCCTTAGACAAGGTGCGTTGCTTGCATTTGCTTAAGAGTAGGTTGTATTTTCCCCCTGTTGGTTTTAAACGGAAATTATTACTTTTGGAAACATGTGAGTGTGTGTTTTTTCCAAGGGGCTGCTGAAGAAAATGGAAGGTAGACGTCCTTTTGAGCCATGTCAAAGACTTGGGCCAGTTTCACCATAGGTGTCCGGATTGAACCGGTCTTTCTTTGTTGTCTTCGTGAGATGAATTGGGTGTTTGACAAAATCAAATACGCTAAGGCCTACAGCTTGACCTTGGGTAGTTGCCTATTTTATAGCGAACTCACCGATCCAGGGGCATATCAAGATCGCCATGAAGGTTCTTTGCTTGGGGAGCCCTTAATGTTGACCCCGGATGAACAAACCCCTGTTATTAATATGGGGGTGTTGCTGGTTTTAGTGGGAAACAGGGGTTTATTAATCCGGGGACCCCTTAATTCAGATTTTGGAATGGAAGAATTTGCAGAAATCTATGTGTTTGCCCGTTTTGCCTTGGGTCCTTGGCATGTAGATTGCGTGCCTATGGATTCCGGAAACATGGCTTCTTGGGGTCAGACAACATTTCGAGCAGATATTTCCAGACATGCGAGGATCGAAAGCTTATGACTATCTGGCAACCCCTTTGCTACCATTGGTGTCCTTTATAGGTTTCTTTGATTAGAAATAGATGGGTTCCACTGGTTTTGACGAGTTTTACCCTATTTTCCACGGAAACCAATCTATTTGTCCAAAAGGGCACCTACTGTGGGTGGAGAAAATCCTGCACCACTTGGAAACCATGAGAAAACATCGCTCATCAGGAACCAGGGTTTCAGAGGTGGTGCGAAATGGATTTCGTTCATCCGCAGTATCTTTGCGACATTTTCCTGGCCGCTGCTGAAAACCGGGTCGCAGGTCCGGCAGCGGCTTCTGCAGGAAGCAAACTTCTTCTCTCTGGGCGGCTTGTGCGAGGCCAGGCTCTGAGGGCGCATAGGGCTCAGAAGTCGGGTTTCGGTTCAGCTCCAAGTGGCCCGGCCCAGCCTTTTTTCTTTTCTTACTGTTCTTGGCCAGTTGTTTGTTTTTGTTGGTTTTGGGTTCTGTTCATTTCAGTCGGCAGCAAAAGGCAAAGTCTTTTGGGCTGCCATACCAAGGGTTCAGTTTTTTGGGCTGCCAAAGTCATTTGCCATTCGGATCCCTCGCTCAGTGTGTTATTTCACGGGTGCTGTTCGCAGCGCATGTTGGGTTTTGGGCAGCCGGCAGGGTAGGTGTGAAGATGCTGAGTTGATCTCATAGACTCGCGCGTTACAGCCGTGTTTTGTAGCTTGGGACCTAGCCAAGTTATACATTGCAACAAATGCGCCTTGCACAGCTGTTTATGTATGTTGGGCCCTTCCAAGTACAGTCATCTTGTCAGTGCCCTTGTAGGCATTTGAAGAACCAACTGTTCAGCGGTGCGATGCTTTTAGTTTTCTTTCGCTTCCCCATTCATGACTATCCAAAGGAGTGCCTTGTTTTAAATCTCAAACCACTGAGCAAGTGAATCACGCAAATCACTCCACCGAAAAGCCCCCGCAAACTTGCTATGCTGCACCCTAAACATCCCCCATTTCAAGAATGGTTTACCCAATTTAGATGGTGATAATCCCAAGGCAAATAATGGTGGTGATATTAACCCCCATCGTTTCAATGGCGGTTTGAACCCCAGGGTGTTTTTTCCGAGTCTGGGGCTGGTCAAGCCCCAATCCAATCTTCTGAGGCCCCAGCCCAAAGACGTACTAGTATTGGGTTGTTGGTGGAAAGGCCTAAGCAGAACAAAAAAACGCCGCGCTTTCCTCAGTGGGTGAAAAAAGGAGTTCTCTGCGGAGATGTCCAGCGCGCGCCGCAGGAGCTGCAAGTGAAGCTGCTCCAGCGCGAGGCGCTGACAGCTCCGGACGGACCTTGGGATTTCAACACAACTTGGGTGGACCAATCGGGTGGGTGTGCCGGACCCTGGCAGGGGGGGTGACCAATACACATATGTAGATATATATATATATATATATATATAAGGACAAAACGTCGGTGATGTGGGCCTTGAGAGTCGGCGCAATAATGCTTGTTTTTGTCGGGTCTTTCGCGCCCCCTCGACCCTATATCGGAAATCCAAGGGGAGGCAATTCGAATGCGTCGAGCGAGCCAATTCTGCAGACCGAGTCCAAGTCAGAAGCTGCGAACGAGCCGAGTTTTGGGCAGCCCAGCTTTCTCTTTCTCACTCTCTGAGTTCATGAACTTTAGACTTTTCGGGAAGACCATTTTGGTGGTAAACAAACAGCTGAGACTGATGTTTGCCAACCGAGCTTCTTGGCCATCCGGTTTGCCCATCCACTCACGTGGGATTCCGGTGTTCCGTCCGTTTCCTTACTTTAGTTCCATCCGGTTTGCGCTCCTGGCCGAAGACAGGACTAGCCCTCGTTCCGCGCGTTCCCAAAGTTTTTCCTTTGGTTTGCCCATCGGCCACAAGAAATGGGATCTCTCTTTCCCCAAGCTACGGGCGAGTCACTCACTGCGCCGCGAGGGCGGTTTTCTTTTGCAAGCTGACAGCTCCAACTGCCTCCGAATGGTTCTTTTGTACAGCATGGGTGTTTTTTTTTTTGAGAGTACGACATGTTTGTGGCTTTAAGGGAAAGCAACACAACCAAGCGAAGCCATTTCGGGGTCCCAAAAGAGAGCCGTGCCCAGATTCGCTGAGGCAGACTCTAAGCCAAGTGAGTTGAAGTGGTGGCAGCTTGCAGCGGAGGGAGCGGGCATTTCCGCACGGATTTTTCCCTTTGCACCCGGGCTTGGTCCCATGAATCCGGTTCCTTCGGCTTCCGGCTTCAGTTCAGTTTTTTTTGGGGGGAGTTTCCACTGAACCACCGAACTGCTTTAGAGACTTTGAGCAGATCTGGCTGTCAAACTAAAAGTTGGGAATCCCTTTAAGCCAACACTAACTGCCACGTTGGACAGTTTTTTGGGGGTACTTTTCTGCTTTGAAAGGAGGTAACAAAAAAAATACACACACACCGGAAGCCATTCTGGGGGAATCAAATCCGTATTTGCACACGGGAGAGGGTTGGAGGTGCGCGTGGAGGTCTTCGTGGAGAGGTTCATGTACCTTGGCTCTTTGGTTTTGGCTTTGTCTTCTTTGTCATGTTCTTCCATCTGCTCAAGAATATGTTGTCCCATCACTACTGGACATATGTTTACTTTTTTGATTGGACTTAAGCAAATGGAAGTGCTGTGATTCTCTTGATTGTTGTTTCGTGTTTGTTGTTTCGTGTTTGTTGTTTTGTTTGTTGTCTGTGTGATTGTTTCCTTTTGGCATGATTACTTGTTTGCCTCTCTCGGTGTGTTTGCATTTATGCCTCTTTGTTTGTATATGTGCATGTCTGCACGTCAGTCTGTATATCTGTCTGTCTATCTGCGGGCAATAGCACTCCTATGGATCAAGGACCCAACACCCCCCAAAGAGCCCCCACCGCGGCCTTCAGTGTCATGTGGCATCATTTGGCCCCGTTTGGCTTTCGGGGGGGTCTTTGAGGCGGGGGGTCCATTGGATCTGTCTGTTGTTAGTACACAGCTCAGAAAAAGAAGCAGACAGTCCAGTGTGTGTTTTCGTGTCTTGTGCATGAGCGACATAAGTCAGACAGCTGTGGCACGGGCAGATTGCGTCTCTTCCGAGGTGCTCGGAAGAGGCGTGCAAATGCGGAGCCGGGCAGAAGGCGGCGGGCGGGAACTTCGAGTGCTTCCAAAAGTGAATCAGGTAGCCCTGGGGCTGGCGGTTTGGATTGGTTTGTTGATTTGAACCCCAGGTTGAGGGTCATAGAATGGGAAACGACCCCCCTAAACTCCAAACCACCAAGCCAAAGCACCAAGGAGGAAGCTGAGCGCAAGGCCACCTTTCAAATCGGACCCCGGGGTTTGTTGATTTGAACCCCTGGTTGAGGAACCGGGCCTTCAAGCCACCAATCCAAAGCACCAAGGAGGAAGCTGAGCGCAAGGCCACCTTTCAAATCGGATCCCGGTATCACACAACTAGGACTTGTTGATGCCGTTGAGGGGCTGCCTTAGCTCCCAAATCGTTTCCAGCCGTTGTGGCTTCCAGTTTTTGTCCGGTCCTTTTTCTGGATTTGGACGAACACATGCCTTGTGGAGGTATATTGAATTAGCGAAGCTCTTGCTTGCCCTTTTTTTTTGGGGGGGGGGGGGCACTGAAAAGGAAGCCAACTTTTTGGGGCTGTCTCCTACTCCGCGACACCCATGAATTGTGCTTGATGGGTCTGGTAGAAAGGCGGGCGTTGCCAATCAATCAGACGTTGGGATGTGCCAGAACATTGTCGCATGACGAGGTGCTCCACCGTAGATTGATATGGAGTTCAAAGAGCCATCACTTCCAGAGGAACATTCCTTTCGATTTGGGTTCCATGCAAATTTGGATCATGCAACAATTTACACCCCGCAATGTTCTGTGGCTACATGCTACATGTCGCAAGCTGGCTGAGCTGTTTGGAAAACTAGAGGACGAATACAGGTGTTCCGTTTTTGTTTTGTTTTTTCCCCGCGGGAGCCTGGATATCCCGGTTCTTCAGTTGCCCCCTTTTTCTAGCTGGTTATTTAGCAACCTAGTAGCTTCCCCACAAAACAAAAACGGTCGATCTCAAGAAAATGTGTTTTTATTTTTAGTGGGTTCACTGGGCAGCTGGGATTCCACACGCATTTTTGTTCCGTGAATTTCGATAGCGATCTCTTCGACTCAGATCGAGATCAGCGCACTAGAAGGGCTGGCGTTCTTCGACCTGGAGCCACCCGGCCAACAAACAGCATAGCCGGACGTGCGAGGAGATTCTGGTTGAGGTGCTTCCTGAAATAGGGCAAAACGCCCCTTTGGAGTGTTTACTTTTTAGGGGTTGCCCTTTGAGTGGTTTTTTCTTTATGCTGGAGGTGTTTTGTTTCTTGTTGAGGGTTTGAACCTTTTGAGTTTGTTTGTTTTCTTTTCAGAATTTTGCTTTGGGAGGGGACTGCCCCCGTTGCGTCTTATTTGTTTGCTTTTGCTATTTGTGTTTCGTACTCTTTGCAGGGTTTGCTCTTTTGCGCAGTTCTTGCTTCTGTTGTTGTTTCTTTTTTTAGGGTTGCGCCCCCTTTGAGTCGTGTGTTCTCTCTCATGTTTTTTGTGCTGGCCCTTTTTTCTAAAAAGATGTATACCGTTGCTTCCGAGTTCCCTATAAACATGGCAAAAGGGGGGTTCGGCTGTCCTTTAGGATGCAACCAACTCATAGTGTGTCCAAACACGATTGACATGTTTTGATGACGTTTGCAGAAACCAAGAAAACATGAGTCATTCCAAAGGGTCTCCAGGTTTGCCATTACCATCCTCTCTTAAACCTAGTATCCACTGCAAGAAGGGGTTGAAAGGGGTTGTGTCAATCATTTCACTCTAAAGGGAAGCCTTTTACTTGCTGAAATGTTGCTTGTCAGTAGCGATTCGATGCATCTGGTTCTGGGGCGCTTTGCCACTTTCTCCAAGTTGGGATGCCCGTAAATATGGCTCAAAATTCAACCACCTGGAATTGCACCGCAGGTAGTCCTTGGTTCCATTTACCAGGGTTCCTAACATAGACCAGGGTCAAGTGGACTTTGGACCAGTATGGGTTGATCACTTGGCGGGCTTCCATTTGAGCCACAATCAAAACCCGGGTAGATGAAGGTTAGTAAGGGGCAGTTTTTAGCGAGAAATAGTTGCGGCCGCCTTCCTAATTCTTTACATGGTTCTGATTCTGGGTAGACCACTTTAATACCGGGTTTTCATTATGACTCATTTAGGGTCCTGGACCCAAGCTTACCTCTTACAAACACAACTTTTCAACTTTTCGGGGGTCACATGGGCTATATGTCTGTAAAAGATTATCTTCAGGGCTTGGAGTTTTAAGGGGTAAGCAAGTGACCCAAGTGATCAGGTTCTTGGTAGACCACTTGAATACCGGGTTTTGATTATGACTCATTTACCAGGGTCCTGGACCCCAGTGATCAAGTCAGGCTGTCATACCCACGGCGCGAGCAGCGCCCGGACTGGACCTCCCCGTCCGCGGCCTTGCGCATCACGCTGCAGCAGAGCCCGGAGCAAGCGCCTTGGAGTCGTCTCTGAGGCCCCGCCCGGGGGTCCTCTTCGCGCGCGCGTTGTTTTTTGTTTTTTGTGTGTGTTTTGTTTTTCCATTTTCTGTTTTGTGTGTGTGTTGCGTTGTGTTCTGTTGTGTTGTGTTGTGTTCTGTTCTGTTGTTTTGTTTTTTGTTGTTGTTGTGTTCTTTTGTTTTGTTGTGTTTGTTTGTTTGTTTGTTTGTTTGTTTGTTTGTTTTGTTGTGTTTTTTGTTGTGTTTGTTTGTTTGTTTGTTTTTTTGTTTGTTTGTTTGTTTGTTTGTTTGGCTGTGTGGGTGTGCGTGTGGTGTGTGTGTGTGTGTGTGTGTGTGTGTCTGTGTCTGTGTCTGTGTCTGTGTCTGTGTCTGTGTCTGTGTCTGTGTCTGTGTCTGTGTCTGTGTCTGTGTCTGTGTCTGTGTCTGTGTCTGTGTCTGTGTCTGTGTCTGTGTCTGTGTCTGTGTCTGTGTCTGTGTCTGTGTCTGTGTCTGTCTGTGTCTGTGTCTGTGTCTGTCTGTGTCTGTGTCTGTGTCTGTGTCTGTGTCTGTGTCTGTGTCTGTGTCTGTGTCTGTGTCTGTGTCTGTGTCTGTGTCTGTGTCTGTGTCTGTGTCTGTGTCTGTGTCTGTGTCTGTGTCTGTGTCTGTGTCTGTGTCTGTGTCTGTGTCTGTGTCTGTGTCTGTGTCTGTGTCTGTGTCTGTGTCTGTGTCTGTGTCTGTGTCTGTGTCTGTGTCTGTGTTTGTGTGTGTGTGTCTGTGTGTGTTTGTGTGTGTCTGTGTGTGTCTGTGTGTGTGCCTCTGTGTGCGTGTGTCTGCGTGCGTATCTGTGCGTGTTTGTGTGTCTTTGTGTGTTGCTTTGTGTGTGTGTGTGTGTCTCTCTGTGGCTGTGTGTTTCTGTGTGGCTCTGTGCGGGCGTGCGTGTGCGTGTGTGTGTGTGTGTGTCTAAAATACTGTCTCAAGCACGCGTGGTTGTTTCGTGTTGCGATGCAGGGGTCAGAGCCCAGGTTTGGGATCTGCAACACTTTGCTCCGACAAGCACGCTGTGGGCACTAAGGATGTTTCCAGGATGCCCTGCGGAATGCCTTCTACAGAATACCTTGTTTACCTTTCTTCCCCTCGTGGCAGTCGCAACACTTTCGCAAGATCTGGCGCAGGTTTCGTGGCAGGCGCTTTTGCAATGTCAGATACACAGATAGGTAGATGGATAGATACATACCTAGGTAGATAGATAGATGGATAGATAGAAAGTGAGGCTGAACAGACAACTCAAATAGCGAAAGGTTAGGCTACATAGGTGGGTAGATAGATAGGTAGACAGACACATTGGCAAATAGATCAAAATAGCCACGTAGATGGATAGATAGATAGACAATGAGACTAAACCGATAACTAATCATAACGAACGATACCTAGATAGATGGACTAGATAAATAGACAGGTACGTAGATAGGTAGATAGATAGTTTGATAGAGGGTTACATAGATACCGATGTATTTAGATGGATTAGATAGATAGATGGCTTAGATAGACAGATAGATAGATGGATAGATAGATAAACAGATATGGATGGATAGATATGGATGGATAGATAGATAGATATGGCTGGATGCATGGATAGATAGTTTAAGTGGCAGGCTTTTGGGCCTAGTGTTGTTCGCAGGGAAAGGGAAATGAGAAAGAGAAAGGCAATGAGAATGAGAAAGAGGGAATGAGAAAGAAATGAAAAGGAAAGGAGAAGTACAAAAACAAATACAAACAAATGAAAGATAGGCAAAAACACGAAATCGAGAAAGAGCTAGCGAGAGCAAAGAGAAGGCGAAAGCGAGAGCGAATCATAAAAGAACAGAAAGAAAATGAATGAAACAAGAAGGGCATAAAAATCAGAAAGAGATGAGGAGAAACCGATAAATCTACATCTATGTACACATATATATATATATATATACATTGAACATAAAGATAATGATAAAGATAAACATGCAGATAATGAGTATGAGAAAGAAACAACTAAGTATGTTTCTTGAAGGTTTTGAAATTCGCACCCCGCCCTGCCCCGGCTTTGCCGAATCTTTTCGCATTTTAGGGTTGACACAAAAGAGCATAATCGTTTAGTATGATGTTCTGGCCCGCATATCATGTTAATTAAGACCTTGGAAACCGTCACCCGGCCGAATGGGAAGCCATTGCTTTCCGAGCGAACGCCGAACACCCAGGCCAGAGAGGACAGCCTCAAGCGGGCCTTGACACAGCTGCGCAGCGCATTGGTCGCCTCAGAAGTGAGCGAGCAGAGCGCGGAGGAAATCGTTTCTGAGGCGCGGTAGAGAGGGAACCCCCTCAAAACTGGTGACATGAATGCCCCATGTACTATGTAGCTAAAAACTTATGCACCTGTGGTGAGGGGCTCTCAAAACTTCTCTCGGGACCAGGTGGGCCTTTCAACCACCATTTCGAGGATGCCACACGCAGTACAAGGGAGCTGGAAGGAACCCGGGGAAGACTACTTTAAATGGGGGAGGCACATTTTTGTGGGTTTGTTTTTGCGGCTTGGTATGCATTTCAGGTTGGTTTAAAGTACTAAATACAAATCGCCATTTTAGGGGTCCCCCTATCCATGGCCATGTTAGGCCTTTTTGGCTGGTCTTCCATAAGGCCGGAATGAACAGCTTGGCCCAGAAATCAGGTTTCATACTGCGGATGGTTGCGAAATCCATGTCGCACCACTTGGAAACCATCGGGAACCAGGGTTTCTTAGGTGGTGCGAAATGGATTGCGTCCATCCATTCACATATGAGTTCATTCATGAAGTGAGCTCACGGATCGGGAGGAAAGCGATGCCCATGAAGGTCGCGAAGCGGGATTTTTGATGTCCGCTTGATACCAGAGCAATTTGCCCAGCTTTTCCTCTGGGGTGGGTGGGTGGCTCATTTTCAACTACTAACCTTTTGACGTGTTTCCGCTCTGCCGCCGATGTCCTGTTCAAGTCGGGATGTTACAAGATTAAGCATCTAGGGTGGTGTGGCAAACAGTAGGGGTACCCAGAAATCTTTTGTTTCTTTTTGGTTTCCCTCAGAACCCACCAAACCAGGGTCCCTCCAAAAAAAACACACCCCCATAGGCCTTTATGTGCCCGGCTTTGTTCAAGTTTGGATAGTGGACTTGCCATGATTGCGCCGTTTGGTTCGGGACCCATTAAAGATTGTCAATCCGAAAAGCCTTCCCGTTCTCTATCAGGGCACTGGGCAGCTGCATTTGTTGTTAGAGGTATGTTGGTGTTCTGTTATTTCCTGTTCAGTTGCCAGCTCACCGATCAACGCGAGTGTCAGGCTACATCGCCAGTGAGGAACGTGCTCAATGAGATAGCGCAGCACCCCGAACTTGTCTACTTAGACTGCTTCGCGCGCGCGGATGAGTACAAGGCGTGCGGTTTGTTTGTTTGCAGAGATTCTTAAGGGGTGCGAGTTTTTTTTTGTTTACTCCTTGTTGGTTGGTGTTAAAGCAAAACCAAGACCCCAAAGAAAAGACACCCAGAGGGGACCAAAACAGGGACCCAACGACCTGGTTGGGTTCTGACTCAGAGTCTCATCTAAATGATCATGTCTTTTTTTTAGCAGGTAAGGAAGGGAACAACTGGGATTCACGAGTCATTTTGGAGCAGGTTTTTGCGATTGCTGAAGTTCAGACGTGAACATGAATGAAGCTGGCCTGGGTCGCAAATGGAGCAAACCCTCACTTGACAGCAAAATTGGCTAACATGAAAGGCCGAGATACTCGCGAGGGTGTACAAACACCGTAGCCGCTCACATTTTGCACACCCACAATTTGGCCGAAGTGACTTTTGTGCCCCGAACCAGATTTGGATGGGGCTCCTCAGTTTCTCTCGGGAGCACAGTCACGCGCCAGGTGGGGGATCGCTTTGATGTGGGCACTCAGTACGTGCACTACGCCAAGTGTGTGAAGATGACTTTTGCGTCTGATACCCAAAGGTGCGAACAGGCTTCCCAGTTGCAAGTGAAGCCACCCCTTTCCGCTTCTTCTTGAGAAGGCTTTTCCTTTTGAAATCGACAAAAGTGAAGGTGCCGTTTGTTTTCCCCGTGGCAATCAATCTGGGCTTCTGAGGCTTAGATGCTAACACGCTGGCTCACGCGGATCACGCGGAAGAAATCCTCGGTCAGACTGGATGCGATTCGAGTCCGGGTCGACCGCGCATGGCGAAGCAGCGAGTGAGAGGCTGACTCGCCAAAGCTTGCGACAGTTTCTGGCACAGGGCACTGGCAACTCAGCCACGGCACAGGCTGGCACTAACTCGGCCATGCGACAGGAGCCATGCAAAACAGCATGGGTTGTAAGCCTCGATGGCGGCCAAAAAAACATGTGCCATTTGGAGGGCGAAGATGAACATCACGCATCAAGCGGTTTCGTCGCTTAGAACTCCGAGGTTCAGTCTGACGGGTCCAAGCCGCTAAGCTTAGCGAATGGGCCAAATCTGGGCTGTTCCCGTGCAGCGGCGCCCTGTTTCCTGCTTAGTGGGTTCGGAAAATGGTCAATCTACCTTTTCCTGCCAGGATTACTGTCCAACTGCATTTTGTAAATCTCAACTTGAACTTCATGCCTGGTGTCTTGACTCTATCTTACCCAAAAACAGGAGCCCCAAAAACTAGGAGCAGCATGGAGGAAAGAAACTCTGGGAGGTCCCGCACGAGGTACCCTTGATTGCTGGAGCAAGGGGGGTAAGGTTGACGAAATGTTACCCAAAGTTACCTGGTAGTACCGTCGTGTCACGCGGTTTCATTTTGTCTAGCCAACCTTCTTGGCAGGCCCATAATAGCTTCCTTTTGAATAGCCAGGATTTGGTCCTGAACAGCGGCTAGGCCCCGCCCTTAACACGCATCAGTCCCCGATCCGCTCATGCTTTCGTGGGTCCACATCCATTCAGGTGCACTGCATGTCCCATGGGAAACCGAAGGAAAAGGTTTACCCAGGGCCACATGGTTTCAGGTCAGACAGATGGCGGTGTGTTCCTGAACTTGAACCCTGGTAAATGGAAGCAAGGACTGAGACGTGGTAAGGCCCCCTGGCGGTTTAGTGAGAGGACCCTTGCCCAGATCTGTTTGGGCGAGAGAAAGCAAAATGTCTTGCTTCCAGGATGCGGGCATGCTCGGAGTGTGCCGCAAGGCCGGGTGCTCGCATTGGTTTCGAGGGGAGGTGAGGGGAGGAGAGGGGCCAGAGGGTCCCTTTCAGAGGATTCAAGGAGCAATTGAATGGACACCATCATCTAGTTACTAGGGAATCATTTTGTTAGGGAGTGGATGTTGCCGGTTTGCTTCCACTGTGATCTTCTTGCAACCATGTATACACCTTCTACTGTTTTGTTCAAGGCCCTTCTTGCATTCGCTCACAGCCATCAACCAGGAGTAGAGATAAGACGTCGTTGCTAGCGTGTGCTTTCAGGGAGATACACAACCACCGGGACATATCCTGTATTTCCTCAATATGCATTCCTTGATACTTCCTTATCTAATCTGAGATGGATCCTGGGGCACAGGTAGCCGTGACAATAGTGGGCTTGTCCCTTCAGGGTGAGTAGGTGTTTCAGACAAAATAAGATGTCGTCAGATGGAGTGGAGGCCGACCGGCGGAAGCGCAGAGGAAGCAATCAACTTGCTCATGGCGGCCAAGAGTTGTTAGAAAACGATCAGCTCAGAGATCCCGATGAAGGAGTGAACTACTTCAAGGGAGCGATTAATGTGTGAATATCGGCTCTTCAGTTAACAGCCGCCGGAGAAACAACAACGAGTTCCTCAAATTAATCTCCAAGTTCTTGCTTCGCAGACTCAAACCATCATGGACTGACCTGATGCCTACAACTACAGCATATTACAGGACAATCACCACAGTATGTCCAAGCAGCGCAGGAAGCAAGTGCGACCACACAACCATAGCTGGAGGACCGCCCAGAGCCTACGCGGATCCAATTAGCCCCGAGATACTCAGGCGATATGTTGATTCACTGACAGCAAGACACCGAGACACGGCAGCCTTGTTGCCAAATTGTTCATCATCCAGCGTGAGCTGACCGAGCAACAACCAACAACGAGAAAGATTAGTTGGCGCAATGTCCTTGAGAAGCATTCAGCTCGAGAACTACAGTTGTGAGATGCTGAAAGGACACTATCTTCGTCCCAACATCTATTGTCCCCGTCATACTCTCTAAACTCGGGCATGTGGAAGACATTATGTCTTGCTCCTCCACTTTGACGAAGGCTTGGATCTTGGATTTTTGTTCTGATCAATGAAAAGCTAATGCGGGCACTGTCATGCACGAAGATGCCAAAGAGCAGAACATTGACATCCGAGGGCACCACAGTGCCATCAACCAACCCAAACCTAACCTCAACAGCACCAGTTGGCTTTCGAGTCAACTGATTAGCGAACGTCTGCACGGATATTTCTGACGAGGTGAGCTACGGAAGCAGATTCGGCGTGGATGATCAAAGTATGTGTGTGCCTGTTTTTCTCCGTTTGCTTCCACATTGATCTTCTTGCAATCATCTTCTACATTTGACCAGGACCCTTCTTCTTATTTAGCCTGATAGCCATCAGCTAGAAAAGAATACCTTGTACATGCTCTCAGTGAGATACCATCACTTGATTCACCGTTCTTTGTTCTAAGATGGTTTACAATAAGCCGTCCCTCTGTGTGTGACGGCGCGGGTTCACCCTATACTGTAGCAAAAGGGAACCGCATCGATCACACTTACCAGATCACCTGGGAAACGTGATTGACTTGCCCAAAGCTCATGTCAGGGGGCGCAATGACTATTGACAACGGCTTGGATGGTTTCTTGTTCGGGGATTTGTAAAAGCAAAGCTGATGGCACCAGGAAAGCGTCGTCCCACCAGGTGAGAAGAATGAGTCCTGTTAACCGCCAAATGCTCAACCCACCCCAAGAACGTACAATTTTGATGGGTGTGTTCTGGACGTTTTACCAAAGGAACCCAAAGGACGCCAGCCAAGAGCAATTTTAGACAGTGCATACCCGTGCTACAGTTTCCCTTGTTAAAGACGCAAAAAAACCCTTCGCAAAGCCATGAAAAACCACAGGGCATTTCCTGTGCAATATGTCCAGGAAGTCTCCTGAACCTCCAGCCAGTGCCGTTTTCAATGGGCTTCCAAGTAGCACGGACCCATGGGTTCTAATCAATTTGGTTCGGGCCACAAAAGCTATGTAGCATCCTAGCCATGTTGGGACCCATTCAATGGGCCCATTTTCAAAACATCGCAGGTTTGGCGCACTGAGGGCGCGCGGGGCTTCTTTCGGGGCGCCTCTTGGCTTGGATCTGGACGGAGTGGGACATATGGGGTTTGTATCAATGTAGGCTATGGGCGGTTCAATAGTTGGTTTCCTTCCTTGTTGGATTCCCTTCAAGCCAAACCGTGAACCAAAACTAGCTTATGTGTGTGTCCCACCCTTTTGAGCCTGGGACATGTTTGACATCGTGTTCTTGTTTCGCTTATGAGAGAAGAATTTCTCACTATGTGTTGAGGGTACCATTTGTGGGATGCCTTTGCGGGAAGCCAAACGGAAGCCCAGTTTTCGTCCCTCCGATATTCATTGTGTCCCCAGCCGGGGACATGTGAGCGGTCCTAAACTTGTGGCCCCAGCTGAAAGAAGGGGACATTCCCAACCAGAAGATGAATTCCCGCCATGTGGATTCAGATGGCTGTGGTGGTCAAAACCGTGTTGGGATCCCATTTTGGGGGATTGGTGCACCACCCATTTTAGAACCAATTTTAGTGGGGATTGGGATGTTAACTGGGGGTACAGGAGGTACACTCCTTTGGATCCAGTTTCTGATTTGTGACTCTGACAGTTGGTGAGTTGGTGGCTATGTTTCTATTTCCTAGTGCCAATTTGGTGAGCGTGCCCAATATCAGCCCTATAGAAATTGATGGTAGTGACCCTTGCTTATGTGGGTATGATTCACTCAAAGCGAGCTCACTGATGTAGTACTCTCACCTGTGAAAGTCGTTGCGTTTGGTTTTGGCAGCATGTTTTTCGTGTAATACGCACACGAAACGCATCCGGTAGGGTCGTTGCAACTCCGTGTGCCAGTGGCGTTTGGTTTAGCATGTTTTCAAGACACAATTGCTGCGTGATATTGAGGTCTTTTTTGTAGAGAAATACATGCTGAACGTGGTCCCCTGAGATGGTTTCATTGATCAAGTTGAGGTCTTTTGGGTAGGCCGAACGCACTGGCACACATGGAAAACACCTTCCCTCGATCGCGGTTTGTGTTGGTGATGTTGAGGCATTTTGGGTGGCCAATCGCATTGGCACACGCCTGAAAAAACACTTACTGGGTCCTTGTGGTTACACGCCCCGCAAGCCATGATCTCGCGCCGCAAGCAGTGTGCCAGTGGGGAAAGCTATTTAGGGTCATGATCATGCTGTCTTTTATGATGTGTGGCATGAAGCCATTTTGCAGGCTTAGATGTTGCTGGCGACGCAAGTGCTACCCCAGCCCCCCACTGTACACAAAGCCAAGTGTCTGGTGTGCCATGGGGAGCCGGATACTTTGAGGAGTGTTTGGCGAAGGTGCGCTGTTGAATGTTGAGGCCCACTCCCATCACAAAACGCAATGGCACACTGCCTCTGGCCAAGATAATGAGAAGGTTCAGTCAACTAACACATGGGAGTCTGGTTCCTTGTGTTGTTCAGCTGTGTGCCAAGTGTTTGTGGACACGATTCGAACAATTTTTGAGCTCGCAACCTAGCTCACACAATCATCCTCAACAAGATTCCTAGAACAGCTTGCGTTGTTGAAGCTGTGGCTTTGGGAGGCCAATCGCATTGGCACACGCAGTCATCCTCAACAAGATTCCTAGAACAGCTTGCGTTGTTGAAGCTGGGGCTTTGGGAGGCCAATCGCATTGGCACACGCTTGAAAAACACGTATCTTCAACAAGTGCTTGTAATACGTATTAGGCTAAGGCCGACAGTCTGCTTAACACATCAATTGGTTTCAACGGCCTGCTTTTCAGGCTGAGGCCTAGGTGGGTTGCGGCTGCACGTTTTCTTTCTTTTCGGACTCGTTTTAGACTCGTTTTTGGACTCGTTTTTTTCCTGGGTAAACTTGCCAAAAACTTAACACAAGGCACCTACTACTGCTACTACTACTACTACTACTACTACTACTACTACTACTACTACTAATTACTACTACCACCACGACTACTACTACTACTACCACTGGCATGTGATGTGCCATGCTGGTTGCCTTCTTACTCATACTTAAACACGTATGCTTAAAATGCGCTGAAGTGCCTTGCAATATGCG